ATCTTTTATTATTAAAAACATCACTTTAACAGGTCACATATATTTATTTGAGTTTAGCTGCTTATATTTTACATTCCAACAAAGGAAATAATTTCAGCAATTTAAAGTGAAATATTTTCTAAACATGAATAGTAACTTAAAACAATGGGTATTTAAAAGTGAACTTAAGGCCGGCACCACAGCTCACTAGGCTAATCCTCTGGCTGTGATGCCGGCACACCGGGTTCTAGTCCCGGTTGGGGTGCCGGATTCTGTTCCGGTTGCTCCTCTTCCAGTCCAGCTCTCTACTGTGGCCCAGGAAGGCATTGGAGGATGGCCCAAGTGCTTGGGCCCTGCACCCGCATGGGAGACCAGGAGAAGCACCTGGCTCCTGGCTTCGGATTGGCACAGTGCGCCGGCCACAACACGCCAGGCGTAGCGGCCACGTTGGGGGCGAATCAATGGATAAAGGAAGACCTTTCTCTCTGCCTCTCTCTCTCACTGTCTAACTCTGCCTGTCAAAAATAAATAAATAAATAAATAAATATGAACTTAAGTAATCCATAAGAGCTTTTCTGATCATGATAAAACTGTGGTTACCAAGTAACTATCAGAAATGTACTCTCAGAAGGCAAAAAAAGAATTATCATTTTTGTTATTTCCTTTCAAACTAAAAAAAAATGTTATGCCAAGAAAAAGCAAATTAATATGCATAGTTAATATAAGTTCTCTTTCATAGTCACTGTGAAGGTCTATTTGGTTTACTTGGTCATGAGACTACACTTACCCATTTAAGATCTTTTCTGGCTCTGCTGGTCTTCCTAAATATTCCCTAATAAGCCCTAAGAGTTGCCTAACATAGGATTTGAAAAGCACTTCTTGCTACTATTCCCTTTTGACACTGCTAAAGCCTACCACATCTGTATTCTGGAGAGTCATAGTGACATTGTAATATATCAAGTCACTTACAGAACATGTGATATAGCTGTTCTTTGGCAGTATCGCCATCCCAATGGTGTTTTTTTCATTGTTCTTCTTAATGAATTTGAATAGCAATCTGAGGTTAAACTTGACATTTTTCCTAAGTAAAACTGCATACCTGGGGCCAGTGTGTAGCAGGTAAAGCTGCTTCCTGCTGTGCCAACATCCCATATGGGCACTTGTTCGTGCCGGTACAAGTCCCAGCTGCTCCACTTCCCATCCAGCTCTCTGCTGTGGCCTGGGAAAGCAGTGGAGGATGGCCCAAGTCCTTGGGCCCCTGCACCTGTGTGGGAGACCTGGAAGAGGTTCCTGGCTCCTGGCTTTGGATCAGCCCAGCTCCGACCATTGCAGCCATTTGGGGAGTGAACCAGCAGATGGAAGACCTCTCTCTCCTCTCTCTGTCTCTCTGTAACTCCATCTTCCAAATAAATAAATAAATCTTTAAAAAACTGCATGCCCATTTAGAAATTCTTCTTCTTTTTTTTTATTTGAAAAAGTTACACAGAGAAAGGAGAGGCAGGGAGAAAGAGAGAGACAGACAGACAGACAGACAGAGACAGAGAGGTCTTCTATCCAATAATTCACTCCCCAGATGGCCGCAATGGCCAGAGCTGCACCAATCTGAAGCCAGGAGCCAGGAACCTCTTCCAGGTTTCCCACACAGGTGCAGGGACCCAAGGACTTGGGCCATCCTCCATTGCTTTCTCAGGTCATAGCAGAGAGCTGGATCGGAAGTGGAGCAGCCGGGACTAGAACTGGAGTCCATATGGGATGCTGGCACTTCAGGCCAGGGCGTTAACCCATTGTGCCACAGTGCTGGCCCCCAGAAATTCTTCTATCTTATATAACTACATACACAGTCACATTTTTGGAAGCAACATTGACTTTTTTATTTGAAGATTTATTTTATTTTTTGAAAGGCAGAGTTAGAGAGAGACAGAGAGAGATCTTCCATCCACTAGTTCACTCCCTAAATGGTCGCTATGAACGGGACTGGGCCAGGATGAAGCCAGAAGCCAGGAGATTCTTCCACGTCTCCCATGTGGGTGTAGGGGTCCAAGCACTTGGCCCATCTTCTGTTCCTTTCCCAGGTGCATTAGCAAGGACTTGGATTGGAAGTAGGGCCGCCAGGACTCAAAAAGGTGCCCATGTGGGATGTCGGCCTTGCAAGCAACTTAACCTGCTATGCCACAACGCCAACCCCAATTGTATTTCTTTTTAAAAAAGCCTTTGCTGTAAGAAAATATGGTTAGTAAAACGTAGGCTACCTTCTGCTAAAAGTCTTACTACTTAAATTATACGTCACTGATTCCTTACCAACCTAGGGTCATGAGTGCATATGTAAATACATACATACAAATACATCTATGTCTACATTTATTCTATACCACTAAGGCACTTCATATTTACCTTCGTAATAAACTTATCTCAGAACTAGCCCTATGTGTTTCTATAACTCTCCTCACTACTGGCAAGATGAAAGATAAACTTACTATTCCTATTTCTTTGCATGGATTAAACAATGAGAACCAAAAGCACCTCAGTTAGCAAAGCATACTTTCAACAACTTGTTAAAACCATCTCATTAGAAAACCATTATTGTGCTCCTAGGACTTAGTACTGCAGACAGTGTCCATTTATCACTGCTGTATTACAATGCCCTCTTTCAAATGCATTCCAAATTGGACAGGAACAAATGCAGTAACCGTGCTGCGAGACCTGGAATTCACGAGACTCCCACTGCCTCGCCAGCTCATTTCAGAAGCACGCATCCATGGCAAGGCTCCACCTGTACACACAGGCTCATAAAACACCACCTGGGACCATTTTGTTAAATCAGGGAATTAGCCACCTCAAGAAGTATAAAATATCTTCTCATTTTAACTGTGACAAAACAGGGACCATCATAAGACCAGGAGGAGTAACATAAGAGATTCATATTTAAAGCCAATAAAAAGGAGATAAATTAAAAAGCCTCAGAACATTGACTCACAAAGTAGTAAGTCTCACAAAAAGAGCTTTCCAAAGAACATGGTTTAGTTAAAAAAAAAATTTAGTGTAGAAAAAGCACCCTGATTATACAACTAATAAAGCTACTGAAACAGTTACCAAATCCCTGGAGAATAAAGGCAGAACCTGATAGGGAAGAGTACAGAAAAACTAATCACAAGTCAATTGCCTCACATTATATACCAAAGGCCCAATAATTTCAGCTCACCTTACTTCCATGAGTGTGAAACATACTTTCATTACAATCATTCCATAAAAGAGTCTGTTTCTACTCTTACTGTGTACTTTCAAGTATGTGAAAATCAGGTTTACAACAAAAAATATTGAAATATTTATTTAAAATGCATTAAATATGTACTTAAAGAGCTTTCCAGTAAATTCTACCTACAGACTTCTCACAGAACTATTTTCGTATGCATACACAGGACATGAAGTATCTCACATACACTCATTTATCATATCCTATCTACTTGGTCTCAAGCTGTAACAATAAAGTGTCTCAGCTCCCTCATGAAACTGGTTCCCTCTGGACTGACACCATTCATTCAAAAACCCTATTTAAGGATAAAAGAAGGTACACGAGGGCCACAAGCAATAATTATTCAGACTTCTATGAGGATCAAGGACAAAATCTTACCTTCAGCACAACCCTAAAACAGGCTGCATCAGAAAATTGAGGAATAAAATTGAGGAATAAAAATCTATGTAAGTGTGACACAGCACCTGAACAAATGTGGATTTATAAAACATGGCTTGAAGGCAGAATGTGTCAAAGACAGGCAGTTCCGTCAAACTTCAGGCTCCAAATGAATAAAAGAATAGCACGGCCAAAAGCAGAGTGATCAAAGGCAGCAGTAAGAGGAGTGAGTGCAATTAAGGCAGTGTAGAAGACTGGCACAGTCTCGGCTCTCCTGCACTGTACATTATAATGAGGGCAAAGCTCCTGCCCGATACGCCCCCATCCCTCAAGAAAGAAAAGATGCAGGAGAGTAAGAGAAAGATTAACTTCACATCTGGAGGAAGGTAGGACAACAAAGAGCGTGGCCCTGAAAGTCGGAAGACCTCGGTTCAGTCCCTAACCTAAACATCGTTTCATCCTTAGTTTTTTTTACCTGAAAAATACATATTAAAAATAATCACCAATCCTATTCTGTACATGATTACAAGAATCCTGAGGTAATAAATATAAAACATTCTTTAAATTATAAGTATTTAGGTAGGAGGAGGACCAAATTTCTTTTTGAATTTTCCAAAGGAAATAATTTAGGTTTCCTCCATAGCAGTAGCCATAATGAGCAAATTTCAGCTCCATAATTCAGGGCTTATCAAAGAGGGAAGAAGTTGTCCTAGTATCAGAAGTATTCACATACGGACTTACTGGACTCTTGGCGAAAATCTAGGAAAACACAGTAAGGTGATAACACCGTATCTGCAGCGGTAATAAAGTCTAATATGTGTTCCTGCCCCTTTCTAGGGAATGAGCAAAATAATGACTATGCACAGGTGAATTCTTCTGTATGCATGATGCAGCTGTTTATTATAACTGACTGTTCCATCTAAGTCAATTTCTCCAAGTCCCGGTTTCCCATCACAGGTCTGGTAAGAGAATTTAAGTAAGTATAATTGCCTAGCGCAATGCAGCTTCAAAAATGTCATTTTATTTTTCCTTTGCCACTTTTAGGTTCTGTTCATGTACACCCAACTTTTCATTTTTTGTTATTCAGAGCATGGTATACAAATAAACAGGAAATACTGTTCACCACAATACTATTTCAAAAAGCAAATGACTAACACATTCAAAAGGAGTCTGTTCAGAAAAAGTAAATTCTACGTTACATAGAAATCATGCATTGATTTAAAAGCAAGGATTAGAAGGCACTGCTAAGCAACCCAGGATTCATTCATTGATTACTCATTCAACAAATACTACTAACCACTTATCGTGTACTAGCTATTTGTAATTAACGGTTTCTTTTAATTGAAGGTTTTTCATTAGATAACATTTTACAGAATGTAGAAGAAAATCTAACCTGGATTCTGGTTATAAAATGGTCCTCCATTGATCTGATTCTGAAGGCTTGTTTGTGAAGTTATAGAAGGAGGGCGTCTGTAGGGCAAGGAGCCCCCTATGGTTGGGGGAGTATGGCGAGAGGCAGGCCGATTCATGCTGTAGAACTGAACAGGATGACCTGAAAATGGACAGAACATGAATCTTTCAGTTAAAGAAAATCATCTTAGATAATGAACTGTTTCATGTACACTGCCTGGATCCTACTGAGATTATTAAAAATAACAACATTTAGCCAATTTAACTACTACCTAAAAATGCAATGCGAGCCAACAGTTACTGCTCAGCATCACGATATCAAAGTGCAAAAGGAGAAAAGTAAATAAAATGATTAAGTCTGGAAAACCTACAATTAAATAGATAACCAGTTAACATTAGGTTCTTAGTAAATTAATTAGATGAGGTTTTAAAATCATCACAATTAAAAAGTTACGGCCCCTGCTGTAGTTTGTATGTGTCCCCCCAAAAGCTCCTGTGTTGAAAATAATCCCCACTGCCACAGTTTTAGAAGGTGAGACATTTAAGAGGTGGTTAGATCATAAGGGTTCTGCCATCCATGAATGGACTAATGCCATTACAGCAGGAGTGGGCAAGTTAGCTCTGGAGTGGGTTCCAGATAAGAGGCTAAACGTGACCCCTTCCCTCGCCCTCCGAAGTGTACACCAGCACTGTGCTGCCGGCTGGTGCCTTCTACCATGTTACAACCCAGCAGAAGGCCCCCAGCAGATGGGGTCATGGGCTCCAGAACCATGCACCAAAGAAACTCCTATTGTTTATCTATCACCCAGTCTGTTTTTCTGTTACAAGAGCACAAAACAAAGAGTGCCTTCTCTCTGCCCTAAAAAAAAAAGCTACCAACACTGAAAACTAAACTTAAAAAGAATGACATTTAGGAAGGCAAAGAAAAAAATGTTTGGTTGTCAAAAAAAAAAAAGTTTGGCAAGTCTTTTTCCAAAATAATAAATAATGGTAACAATAAGCAATTTAAAGAAAACACAGTATTCCAGCAAAAGGTCTAATGATATAACTCTAAATTAAATACATGCCTATTCAATCAAAAATATTTATCTCTGAAATAAGATTATTCTGTTTTACAGTTTAAGAAACTGAACTATCAAAGAAAGCTGGAGTATAAAAAGTAAATAAAAATATCTCACTTTCAGTATCACCCGAATCCACACATATTTATCATTAATTTCACTAGATGTTAATCTCTAGACATTTCTTTAATGGCTTAGGCCATTTGGAGATACTCTTTCTGAATCCATCCAACTTCCCAATACAATCCAGAGAGTTCTTAAAATTCTACCTTGACGTCACCCCCACTTATAATCACTCACTCGGCTGAGGGCTTTTGTTACAGAGAGTGCTAAAAGCGCCCTGAGAGAGCGCCCGGCAGCAAGAGAGATGGAGGGGACAGGGGAGAGGGAGGTGGGGCCAGGAAGAGGAGGAAGAGAAGGGGAGGACAAATAAGGGAACGTAGGAAGGGAAGAAGGAGGGGAAAAGGAAGACAAGAAGAGGAGAGAAAGGGCACAGCAGGAAAGGATTGGAGGCATCTGGCCTAACTAAGGGCGAGGATGCTGTTGGGATGCCTGTATCCTACATCAGAGTCCAAGTTTGAGTCTTTGCTCTGCTCCCTATTCCAGCTTCCTGTTACGTACATCTTGCGAGGCAGCAGGTGATGGCTCAAGTATTTAGGTCCCTGCCACCCAAGTAGGAGACTCAGAGGGAGTTGTTGGCTCCCAGCTTCAACCTGGTCTAGACCCAACTATCGCAGACATTTGGGGACTGAATCAGAGGATGGAGGATCTGTTTCTTTGCCTCTCAAACAAAAAATAACAACAGAAACAACAGTATCAAATAATAAGAATGTGACTAGAAATTTCATGTTTCTGGTAAAAGTGCAAAGTTTTATAGCCACTTAGGAAAACAATTTGGCAGCTTTTTAATACAACCTAGTGATCCTTCTCTCTAGGTATTTATTTACTAAAATACCTGAGAAACCCATGTTCAGGAATAGATATTTTGTCCAGTGTTTAGAATATATCCATCCCATTCATGAGTGCCTGGGTTTGAATCCTGACTCCAATCCCAATTTTAGCATTCTCTTCATGTATACCCTAGGGCTCAAGTGATTGGGCCCATGTCATCCACATGGGAAACCCAGAGTGGGTTCCTAGCTCCCAGCGACAGCCTGGCCCAGCCCCATTTGAATAGAAAACCAGCAGACAGGAGCACTCTTTCTTTCTCTTTCTCTCTCTTTCTCTCTCAAATAAATTAAAAAATTTTAAAAACCCCTAAGTTCACACAAAAACCTGTATGTGAATGTCTACGGCAGTTCTATTCATAATCCCTTAAACCATAAACAGTCCAAATGGCCTTCAACTGGGAAAGAAAGGACAAATGTGATCCATCCGTCCCATAACCCATACTCAGCAATAAGAAGGAACAGCACTTCCACGTGCAACAAGAAGGATAAATCTTAAACGCATCTGTTCCAGACATGAGAGGCTGTACATTGCAGACTTCCATTTATATGCTGTTCTTACAAAGGCATACTTTTAGGGGACAAAAACAAGCAAACAAAGGGTTACTAGGGGCCGGGCAGCAGGGAAGGAGTGTGAAGGAAACTTTAGAGAGCACAGGACTGCTCTACGTCGTGACTGTGTGTGGTTATAGCACTGCACACCTGTGCCAGAACTGACAGACTTACACAGTTACTTCAGAAAGTTCATGGCAAAATACAAAGAAAGGCGAGTTTACTTTGGTGCAAAAACAGTTTCAATCTATGTACAATGTTTTCAAATACACACTTTCCAAATATTATGAAAAGACTTTTTATATCACCTAAGTTTTTTGGTACCAAAACAAACTCATTCTTTGAATTCTGTCTCCCACAAACGTTTTGAAGTTTACTCATATATACAAAAGAGATGAATTTTACTGTACATATATTACACCTTAATTTTTTTAAAAAGGAAAAAAAAACTGGTGATTCAAACTCTGAATAAGAGATTATATGGATATAAGTTGTTAATAAGGCACTTATCTTGCTTTTTTTAAAAAATATACAACCATTAACTCATAATGTTTGTTTAGTGAACATTAAAAGCTAGACATCTGTTACTAAATCATTATTTAATTACTAAAATGTTGACTCTGGGGCAATTTTTCCTTTCAGGGACTAGAGCCAATTTCAAGATGTACTTTTTATTCTCTTGAAACAGGAGGAACATAACAAGATTCCACTACTTAGTAGCTTGTCTGGCCTAACACTCCTGTATGCAGATCAAAGAACAGCTCAGGTTTACATTTATCCGCTACTGAAAGCTTTTTTTTTTTTTAAAAGTCTATTACAGAAGCCATCCCATAATACACAATCCAAAATCTATTTCAGCTGAAAGCATTTTGAAACATGTAAACAACTGATTAGAAGAGCAAAGCTAAATATTTATTCTGTGAAATACTTTATTGGCAAAGTTAAATGCTAATGTGATATATATCCAAACACATTTTTAACAGGTAAGAACCTGCTTACTAACCAGCATCACTATTAATTGTTTAAATATATGTTGTAGTAATTTTTTATCTCCTCCCCCATTAAAACAGATTTCAGGTTACAATTTTAAAATAAACCTGAATTTCTTTAAAAGTACATCATCTAAGAATTTCCAATGTGGGGCTGGCGCTGTGGCTCACTTGGTTAATCCTCTGTCTGTGGCGCCAGCTTCCCATATGGGCACCGGGTTCTAGTCCCAGTTGTTCCTCTTCCAGTCCAGCTCTCTGCTGTCGCCTGGGAAAGCAGTGGAGGATGGCCCAAGTGCTTGGGCCCCTGCACCCACATGGGAGACCGGGAAGAGGCACTTGGCTCCTTCGAATCGGCGTAGCTTTGGCCATAGCGGCCATTTGGGGGGTGAACCAACAGAAGAAAACCTTTCTCTCTGTCTCTCTCTCACTGTCTATAACTCTGTCCGTCAAATAAATTAAAAAAAAAAAAAAAAAAAAAGACTTTCCAGTGCTGCTAAAATAAGTAACAGATTCTATAACAGACTAACGGAGGCTTTCAATTGTTGTATCAACTACTTCCTGTAAAATGTATCCTAGAATTATTGTCATACTTTCCTTTTTATGATTTAACCTATAACAAACAATTTCTAATGACAATTTCTTGAAAGCATATAGAAGATAGCTCCATACTAAATTTACAAATCTCTAATTTCAAGCAGTAAAAAAATTGTATTTGTGCTACCTTCCTGGAAGTGCGTATAAGACACTTTACCCCGATTTTTTCGGGAGATTCTAATCTTTTAGTCATATGCCACTTGCTAGTTACTATATTACTCTTCATACTTTTTTTTAAACACAAAACAGAAACAAAGCCAAACAAACAAGAAACCCCTAACGCTGGTTCCCAGGTACTAGAAGAGCAGATGACTGGGCCTGCCTGCAACGGATAAGCCATACTCACCTGCAGGGGGAGCGGAAGAAACAGGGGGAGTTGGAGAAGTGAAGCCATCAGCAAGGGTCTGGGCACCCCCGGCCGCAGCGTCGGGGGCAGTGGAGGAAGGGACAGCAGCAGGAACAAGAGGGGCAGGGGCGGATGCGGAAGTAGCAGGAAGGGGAGGAGTGCCAGCAGAGGCAGCGGGGGCTGAGGGAAAGAGGAAGAGGCAGCATTAACGAGGCAGTCACAACAGGCAGGATTAGAAAGGCAGTGGAATATTTACTGTTAGATATTCAGTGCTTACCATTAATTGAAAGAATAGAGTTGAAAGAAAAGAATGAAGCATATGTTAAAGAACTACCAGGTATGCAGCAAATAATTCAAGATGCTCAGGGTAATATGCAGATTTTTTAAAATTCATTAAAAACAAACTTTTTCTATGAAAGCCACTAATTTGGAGGAAAAAAAGGACTTCCTGTATAGTGCCACTTTAGGCCAACATTTGTAAAAAATATACAAAACTAAACACAATACACCAAAAACCAGCATCATTACTTTTTGAATTACACAAGAAAATACATACACTCTGGACAACATCTCATCAGGTAAAAATAGAACTTAAACACAAATCTTTTTCATGATTTTTAAAAGGTGTAGCTACTTGTCATATTATAAGTAAATATGGAATATTCTATCCTGTCTTTGTGCCATGCTCTTAAAATTAAAATTTAATTTTGGGTGTTCTCAGACCAAATAGGAACTACTAAATTGCAACAGCCCTCTAATTTTAACTGTCAAAGCTAATTTTATATTTGCCCAGTCCTTTGTTGAACACAATTCTCATAAAGAGTCCCTCCTGTGTCCAAAGATACACAGTATCATAACAATAGCTGGAATTAAATGTGTAACTTCTACAAAGTGGTGCTAAAAATCAAAGCACCAACTGAGCTCCAGCCCCAAAGGTATAGACCCAAATAACAAAGAAGTGCAAAGTGAGCACAACTTAGAAATCACTTTGTTAAAAATTAAAAATATATAAAGATTACCCAACATTCGTGAGTCCTAAGGGGGGGAAATTCTCAAAGAAAGTCCACTGTAATTGTAATTCAAATTCAGAAAGAAAACCTGAAGATGAAGCACCGTTAACGCTTTACCTGGAAAGACACTGGGAGGAGACGGAGTAGGAACAGCAATAGGCACCCCCACACTCCCACTTCCACTGTTTTCCCGACTGCTGCTCCGACTACTGGGGTGGCTTCCTCCACTACTCCCACTGCTGCTAAAGAATGAAAGCCACCAAAACGTGAGTAGTTTTATACAAGACATCATCATTTCCCAAAACTTTCTGAAATGAATATTGTTACAATAATGATAATTCACGTTTGAATTTCTTAATAAATCCAGGGGGAAAGCTGGGTTCAATAAGTTTGTTTCGACCACCTTTTAGTATGATGTAAATAACCAAACTGAGAGAAGAAAAAAATTCTCCATAAACGTAAGCGAAAACTACTGGGGCTCAACATATTAAAGTAAGTATTACCTTCGTATATTCCAGTTTAATACTTATCTGAAGAAACTTCTTTTATAATAAAAAAAATTTCTTGTATAGATGATTTGATTGACTTTAATTTGCAATGGTACCTTGTTATACTATCCCATATTAATATTTCATTATGTATAGTTTTTCATCTGTAAAGTTCCACCAAAAAACAACTAGAAATTTCCCACATTTGGTCCATAATTTTTTTGCAGATCAATTAAACTAATAACCTCATAGAGCAATTTGCACTTGGATTTGTCTCTGCTTGTATTCGGCTTCCTGACTGTTCAAAGTGGCATCAGAACATGAGGAGAGAGAGGTGGAATCAGATGAGGTTTGGGAGAATAGAGTGAGGAAAAGAACTGAGCGCGTAGAAAATGAGAGAGACTGAATCGAGGTTAGCTAACCGGATCATGGTACTATGACCATCACATTTTGCGCTGAGGTAGAGAAAATACCTGTAAGTTCGATTTCTTTGATTCACAGAAGCTGTCCTCACAGGGCTCTGCTGCGAGGGAGCCATATTACGGGTTGGGCTAGGTACGTAATCATTTGGTACCACTGGAGGACGCACTGGCTCCAGTGTGCGATAGGGGGAGTGCCGCCTACAAAAAGAAGAGCGTATGTAGTGTGTGATTAAGCAAGTTTCGGCACAATAAACTCAGAGCTGCCAGTAGTGCAATACAATTGGAAAATGAGAGAGGAAATGTCTTTTAACATAACCCAGCTACCAATTGCAGTCTTTCCTAAAGATTTACTTCTCCATCATTAGGGTTCTGGTGAGCACGTATTGTTAATTTGCCATCTCCAACCTCATTTCCCTGTGCTAATGCAATTTTGTTCATTTACTTTTCTGAGAACACAAGGTTCTCCGCCATGTATGCCAATGTGTCCTAGACCCAACTCTTAGAAGGGATTATTGTAGTATGTCACCGTCTCCCAGCTGCATTGCATGAATGTTCCTACTATCGTTCTCCCCTCCCTCCCTCACCTAGGGTAACCTAACAGGGGGACCACAAGCCTCGAGTTTTGAATCCATAACCCCCATACTGCCTATCGATACCACCCGCAACAGCTCATTTCCCTTTCCAGATACTAAATACATTAAAGTATATGTGTACACAAAACACACAATTTAATCTCATCTTCCACACTCACAACCTCACTTTTTCCCCTCAACTTACACCTTGATATCCCTTTCCTCTTCTCAACCTCAGAGTTCAACATTTAAGTGGTAGAGAAAAAAAAAATTTTAACAAGACCACCAGAGCGGCCAGCACTGTGGCATAGTGGGTAAGGCCACTGCCTGCAGCACCAGCATTCCATATGGGCTCCGGTTTGTATCTTGGCTGCCCTTCTTCCATTCCAGCTCCCTGCTTATGGCCTGGGAAAGTAGTAGAAGATGACCCAAGTGCTTGGGTCCCTGGCACCCACATGGCACACCCAGAAAAATCTCCTGGCTCCTGGCTTTAGATCAGCCCAGCTCCCCAGTTGCGGCCATTTGGGGAGTGAACCAGCAGATGGAAGACCTTTCTCTCTGTCACTCCCCCTTTCTGTAACTCTACCTCTCAAACCTCTCAAATAAATACATAAATCTTTTAAAAATTTTAAAAAGCTGACATCTTAGATGAGACTCGTCTTTTTAAAAAAAAAAATAAAAACTGGCATCTCAAGGTTTGAAAATTAAAGTTTTGTTTTCCTGAAATAATGCTACTCAAATGACTTACGTATTTTTCTCAATAATTCATTTATCAAAAGGCTCCAAGAGTGCTTTTAAACACTGTTCTCCTGGGCCCTTAAATGATGGCTAATTGATTTTGAATGAGATAATTTTGCAAAAACCCTGCTGACTCTGAGACCTGCAGATTCTCCTTGCATAAATACATACATATAAATAATTAAAAATAAATATGGTGCACTTAATGGAATATTGGGCCAAAAGAAGAAAAAAGAAATGTCAGGAGTTTGGGGTTAAAATACTGAAAAGAATGTCAAACATTTCTGATATTTTAATGCAAATATAAATGACTAAGCAGAAAACTGAGCAACTTCCAGAGACATGATTTTTAGGTAATTTTTCCCAGACAATAAAAATGCTGTTTTCTTCAAGAAGAAAACCTTTACTGACTGAGAACTACAGAGTGGAAGCAATGATACAATTAAGGTACAAAAACCAACAAGAACACCACCACCACCACCACCACCACCACCACCACCACCAAGGCAGAAGAACAAACACGGTGACTAGACAAAGACTATGCCCAAAAAGCAGGCTCCGACCATCTAACAGCCACGTGGCTCAGCAACCCTACAGTCTACAAAGATGCGACACGACCAATGCTGTTACACAAAGAAAACAAATACTGATGCCTGAGTAAATCTTCAAAATATCAGAGTACAAAACTTTCTTCTTGGACATGCAGCAGGTTATCCTGCTGATTTAATACCTACTAAAACCCTCTAGGCCATATATGTGATAGGAATGTAAATGTTCTACATGAATGAACAGTTCCTCTTGATCACTGTACCCTCATCCCTGTCCCACTGTGCGTGAACATCTCACTTGCATGCTACCCTCAAGTTTGGTCCATTAGATTAATTCCTTTCTATTCAAAGAAGAAAAATTTTTTGTCTATCTCAAATAAAGCCGTCCTATTCCTGACTGGAAATAATTTTTATTCTTTTATTCTTTTGTCTTTCACTGTCTTAACTATACTTCCTCCCCCAACATTATCCTCCCTTATATCCCAATCATCTTTATCCTGTCCTGACCCACAGTGCCACAGTGCTTGACTGGATTTTCGGTTTTGTTGTTTATCTTGTTTTTGTACTTTGTGTTTTTGGTTGTTTGTTTTTGGTGAGGGGGCCAAAAAATGATTGTCAATTAAAATTTGTTTGCCATATATCCTATAGCCAATGGTAATCAAAACATATTGTCTTTGTTTTATACATTTTTTAAAAAATCCAAATTGTGGTACAGTGACCCTGAAAAGTTTATAAAGGACAAATATTACCCCCTTTTACAGATGAAAAAACTGAACTGTTTAGAGGCTGAGCAGGCAGGAGCACACAATCAGCTGCAGAACCAGCCCACAGGTGCACTCCTCTGGCTTCTGGGCTACATTATGCCCAAATACAAATCTCGGTCAAGATAAACCATGTTTAGTGTGAGGCCATGGAAGAATGTCAAGCTTTTCCATTAATTGACCATTTCTGCTTGCAAAAGTCAAATCCAGAGCCTAAATCTGTAGGAGCAAACTACAGCTTAAGATTCTCATAACATGTTACACAGAACTTTATCATCTATACAACCTTCTTGAGAAAGACAGTCTAAGTTCAACTGCAATAAGAAAGACCGCAAAAATTTTCTGGAAAAAAACGGAAATTAAAAATTAGACTGCAATTTATAATAAACCATTACCTTGGACTAGGATTTTACCCCCAATTTGAACTGTATTAGAAAAATAATTTCTAAACAAAATATTTCTGATGTATAAATGTGTATTGTCCAGGAAAAGGGAAAATTATACCCATAATATAATCAATTCTAGGAAGGAAACATTCTCTCTTCAAATACTCAAAAATAATTTAAATACAGGCTCTGCTTAGCTTTTAACACAACATTAGGTGAAATCAGTCTGCAGTTACTGAGTTATATACTCACCCAAGAGTCCCCTTCCCTGACATGGGGGGACTGGGAGGTTTCTGAGTTGGAGGTGTCGTACGCGGCAGCCCACCCATCTTCATGTTCTGGGTACTCACCTAAAAAATGGTTAAGATTACCTTGTATGCTTCAAATGAAATGGCACTTTCGGGAAATAATGTTAAACTATTTAACAAAAGAGGGGAAGGTTTAAATATAGGAAAAAAATTGGAGGCCATGCATTTCATATGCAATTTCTACTCTACTATTATTCTACAGTTGTACTCAAAGGACTCTTCCTAACATGAGATTTTCAAATGGAAGACTATTTGCCATTAGGCCATCACACCAACAGATCACTGGTTAGACTGTTTCATATTACATTTAGTAGGTATTAAATAGGACAACTATAAAAATTTTAGTTTTAATTACCAGTATCTCATTCAGAAAAAAAATCCCTTTAACCAATTCCTCATTTTTTGATAGCTTCCTTTAGATAGCAAGTATATCAGAAATAAAATGCTTCCCAAGTAAAAATACACACCTATGCATATGACCCATTGTAACTAAACAATATGAAGGTAAACTGCAAAATAGAGAAAATTTTAGTTTTTAAAGTTATGGATCAGCCTTTTAATTTAGATTGCTTTAATGTTCTCTTTTAAGGGAATCACCTACCTGTAAACTGTGAGAAATTCAAGTATGTTCCTAAGCATATGAACCAGAAAGTCAGGGCTTAAATAGCCCATTAAACTGTGAGCAGTAGAGGAGTCACTGACAACATCCCAGTCCAATGGGAATACAACCCACTCAGGTCCAAATTGAAAATTAGTTCAGGTATGAGAAAAATGTGGCACAGTCCTAAGTCAGAGCTATTCACTATTCTTTCCCCCAACTGAAAATGCAAGCATACAAAATGTAAATCTGGAAATAATGGACACCACCAAAGGAGTATGCCAGCAGTTATATGGAAAGCCCTAGAAGTCTGATTATGTAAAGGAGCAAAAAGATCTCATTTACAAATATAGTTTGAATGCAATTTCAAGTTGTGTGAGTTAGTTCACCATATAGGTTCATATGTGATCCTATTTTAAGCTCCTAATATTTTGGATTGCCATCTTCAAAACACACTTCAAAAAAGGATTTCAACTGTTCTAATATGCTTAACACATTCAAATTATACTTGTAAAATGAGACTGCAAGAATTACATCATTGAAATTAGAATGCACTGATAACTGCAATTTTAAAATATAAATTAAGGAAACATCATAATTGTATACAGAATACAAGAAGTCTTCAAAAAGTTCATGGAAAATGCATATTATGATTTAATTCTATTTTTCAATGAACTTTTTGAATTATCCTCATGTTGAGGGTGTCAAAATTAACTTTGAATTAGATGGGATTTTTAGAATTCCTATACTACTATTTATCATTCTGAATAGGCAAGAAATAATTAATTTAAAATTCTTCAAATTAATAGACCAGTGAACAAGTTGTGTGTGATGTTAAAACAATCTTTAATGACAAACAATACCTTCAAAATGTCAGTATTTTAAAGTGAAGCATTTATCTTTAATCCTTTTTGCTGCTGCTTTAAAAAAATACAAAACAAACTGATAATCAAGAGTAAAAATGAACTTGTCCTTGCACTCCCTCTCATTAATAAGCAGAGGGTACACTAATTATATCTTAGAATGAAAATGGCAAAAGCTTTTTTAAAAAAAATCAGTTCACATTTGGGGAAATTTTTAGAAGACATATTACATATAACCAATACGTTTAAAAATGTAAGTCTTAATTTCTGAAAGCAGAAGATTTTAAAAGTGGTAACCAAAGTCCTTTAAGCTCAACCTTAAATAACATAAAACCCAAAGTTATTTTAAGTGATGAAGGAGAATTGGACCAAACACTAAACTACATCAATTTGCTGGAAATAGGAAGGAAAAGGAGCAGGAATAGAAAAAGAGTAGAAGAGAATTTTATTCTATACATGGAATAGCTAAAATATTTGCAAAGCTTTCCAACTTTGATTTTCTTTAGGCTTTTGGTATGTAAGTTGTTTTTATTTAAGTTGCAGTATCATCTATAAGACTTTGCACGTATCCAAAATATAGTAAAAAAGTATCTATCAATTAAAATCTGGTGGAAATTTCTATAATAAAACTTTTCAAAATATGTAGAAACATCAAATGACTGTATTTGTTTAATTAATGGATGACTAACTTAAATCACTTAAAGAACTCAAGAGTCCCTGTAAAATGTCCAAACAACCTAATTTTATACTTCAATATTATATTACCTTTCTATTAAGCTAAAATAATTCTTTTCAAGTCAGTTTTTCTTTGTGAGAAATTTGTATGCCAAGTAAAACAGTGAATACGCTGCACATAGTATAAATATTGCCATCTAATTTAAGCAAAAGGAAGAACAGGAATAAATAATAAAACTTAATTTCTTCATAATAGGTGGGCTCTATATTATAACTAGAGTTAAGAAACTGTACTTCAAATCCAAAATATATTTTTACTAAATGCTTCTCCTCCCCTCCCCAGGGAAATCAAAGCTGAGACCAGTAATTAAGAGTATGAGTTAAGGACAGAGATAAAATTTCAAGTAAGTGGGCTGAAAACGCAGAGGAGCCAATAGCCCTAAAACAATCTATACAGAGATGGACGAACAGATCTGGAGAAACAGGGCGGGCGGGGGGGAGAGGAGGGAAAGGAGAGTCACAACAGTTATTTAAAAAAAAAAAAAGAAGAAGAAGAAGAAGTAAACAAGAGATATAAAGAAAGACAAACTTCTTGACTATTGAAAACAGTTTCTAACAACTGGCTTTTGCCAGAACAGAATTCAAGATTAGAAGTGACAGGCAAAAACAGATGAGTCACCAAAGGGTTGCCGGTATTACCCTTTTTTCTTCCAAGTGTTGTGGCCAATAAATGTTTCAAAATGAACCTTAAGCTGTACCTAAAAGAAGCTTAGAGAAATTTATCCTATTTCTGTAGGGAATGACAAATATTTGTTATAGAAAATACTCAAGGGAAAATCTTCCATCATTTTTTTAACATGGCATTAAATTATGGGTCTTTAAGATCTTAAGCAAAATTTAAGTGTTACATTCTTAACTTGCTAGTTGTAAAATAAACTCCTAATGTCTACTTATTAATTATTCAAAATATGCTTGGGCAATGCTCCACTTAAATAACAACACTATATTAACAGATCAAAAGTCATAACTTAAGTTTTTTTTTTCCTTTTTTCAGACAGAGTGCGCACCCATCTGCTGATGTACTTGCCAAATGCCCCCAAGGACTGGGGAGCTGAAACAGGAAGCTACAAATTCAATTCTAGTCTCCCGTGTGGGCGGCAGGGACCCTATTACTTGAACCATCACAGCTGCCTCCCACAGTCTGCATTAGCAGGAAGCTGGTGTGAAGAGCTAGAGTCAGAAATCAAAGCCAGATACTCCAATACGGAACAGAGGGTCCTAACTGGCAGCTGAAATGCCAGGCCAAATGCTGGCCACAGAACTCCACTTTCAATTAACCTGATACACACATTCTAAAAGTACTTAAGCTTAGCTTCATTAGTAACATCTTCACCACTTTCAATAAAAAATCCATTACAAAGACATCACAGGGTCTTAAAACTTTTCATTATATTTATTATTAAAATAAAGAGTAGAAAAAGGGAACTTCTGTTAAAGGTCTATTTCACTTTCGTAAAGTTGGCCTCAGATACATATTAAAACATCTCCAGGAGCAGATATTTAGCCTAGCAGTTAAGATGCCTGATGCCTGTGTCTCACATCAGTGTGCCTGGGTTGGATTCCCAGCTCCAGCTCTTAACTCTACCTTCCTGCCAAAACAGACCCTGGGAGGTATAACTCAAATAACTTGTGATGATGGCTCAAATAACTGTGTTAGAAGATAGTTTGAAAAAAAAAAAAAAAGTGGAGAGAGTGTAAACCCAGTGAAGAGTTAAGGAGAAAACTGCAGAGGAAACACCATGCAAGTTACAGAGACACTCTGGATCTCCGTGGAGGGTATGGATGTGCACCATGAATACGAACACAACACAGGACCCCAGCAGCCAGGAGCCTCAGCACCAGCTTCAGAGAGTGAGGTGAGACTAGACTGCAGCAGCCCAAGCCCCTTGCTTTAAAGCTGCCTGGCTTGAATCTGGCTTGGAGCACTGTCGGGGAGAGTATACATGCCAACCTAAAGGGGAAAATGGGGGGGGAGGTGTTTCTCTCTCCCTAGCCACCTGCCATCAGCATCCTATAACTAGCCAAGAGATCCATTTTGGACATACATAACAACTGTGCCAGTTTGTGTCTGTGCACCCAGCAACCAGCCGAGAGGAGACACTTGAGTCTGGCTGGGGAACGTGACAGGGAGGTGAGCACTTGTGATTTCGGGAGCCTTGTGCTCCGGGAACAGTGAAAACACTGTGGCTGTGTGGGAGGGCACAGGGTGGGGCTGGGTCTCTGGGCAGTCACGGGCGGCTACACTCCCGGGGCTCTGATTCCTTGGTGATGGTCGTTGCTGCAAGATACATGTGCACACTGTGGACTGCATGGATCCTTTGTGTGGTTCTTGTGGCACCAAAGATGAATACTGCACCCACTGGGGCTAGCCTGGGCATTGGTCTCCTTGGAGGAGAGGGGGTGAACATGAGACTATGCCAAAAGAGCTGATCAAACCTCGCCTCTGATTGAAAAAAAAAAAAAAAGAGATTTATCATGCCCAACCTGGGTGTCACCAGGGACACTCCTCTCACACTGCAGCACTAAACAGAGGTCCCTGACCACACCCACCACATATCTCTGGGTATGCACTGTAGAGCAGACACTCCAGTAAGCTATAAAGGCATAGTTCAAATACAAAGCCATGAGGGGAGGGGGCAAAAAAATTTATCTCCAAAAATGCCTAAAAATAAATGCAGAAATTCAAGAAACAAGAATAAGAAAGACAACATGATGACCGCAAAGGAACACAACAACACTTCAATACTAGAATGTGAAGATGAAGAAATTGAAGAAATGCCAGAAACAGAATTCAAAAAACTGTTCATAGGATTACACAGAAGTACTCAGAACCAAATTCAGGAATT